ATATTTTTTCTCATGTACTTTAATTTTAAGTAGAAAACACAACATAATTCATTAAAAAGATTGCTTTGAGATGGTCAAGTAGTCCCACCATTCTTGTTATACAATAAGTCATTTAAGTTATATCATTTCATTAAATATGTCACACAAATAAATAGAATTTAGTAGTAATTTCATATATTTAAATATTATTTATTTAAAAATTCAGTGAATATATAAACGAGATTGTGAAATCCATAAATTCAATTACATAATAAGCCTAATGGAAGTCTAGCAGTATCAAATATTTTCTCGAATAAAATTATCCAAATAAAGTCTATTTAACTAAATAAAAAAATAAACAAAAAGGACGAAGAACGGATTGATAAGCTAAAAAGAACTTAAATTATGTTCAAGTATATAATTCACTAATTAATTTTAAAACAAATTTAATTTATTTAAACCATAATAAAATTAACACAGAGCTAAATTTTAAGACCGGGCTAGAGCCCACCGCCCCAACCGGGTGACTCCACCCTTGTATATAGGTGTATCAAAGAGGAATATATTATAGAGATGTCCTATGAAAGGAAACTTCTCATGAAACTGTTGTTTACCATCATCCATATCTGCTTCTTTCCTCAAGAGAAAAAGCTGAAATGTGAGTGAATTATCGCTTTATTTGCAAATAGTGTTATAATCGAACTGCACAAGCAAGCGCCCGTGTTCAATTATGTTCGAAAATTAGCAAACTTTCATGAACATGTTTGTGTTCATTCGATTAACATAAGAGCCTAATGTTTTGTTAAAGCATGACTTGATTAACAAAGAAAAATGAGCTTTATACAAGCGCAAATGTTCAATTCGTTTACAGATAGCATTTGGTTCAGGGACGGAGCCTATAAGGCCCAGCATGGGCCTAGGCCCACACTGGAAAAAAAACTATCTTATATACCCTACTCAATAAATAATTTATTACTCAATTAGTGAATAAAAATTAAGAAAAAAAAATTAGGAACACAAATAAGAGAAAAAAAAAAGAGATAATGGAAAAAAATCATTGTTCTTGTTTATTTTGGTGAAAGTAAATCTAGTTTTTTTTTTATTAGGTTTGGTATAAAAATTAAAAATTTAAACTTGTAGTTAATTGAATGTTGTTTCTTAAAAGACTATTAACATATTTAAATTTGTGTGTGATTGATAACTTGTAGGGCTTTTAAAAGTTTGATATATTAGATAAAATATTTTATACATTATAATTTATTTTTTTGTATCAAATTATGGAGAAAAATATTTTTATAAATAGTATTGACAAAAAAGTGCATGTGAAAATATTTCAAAATTAGCTACTTTTGTTCCAAATATACTTGAGGTGAATTATAATATTGTTAGGTCGAAAAAAAATGTAAAAACTTTATTGTAGAGTCATCCCAAGCTATGAAAACTCATAGAAATTTCTGGGAATGTGTATTTTGTATTTATATTTTATTGTGATGTATTATATTGTTTTCTAGAGACAAGTAGGCCCCCACTCATATTATGAGCTAGATCCGCCCCTGGGGAAGTCGTCAGCCGGCCTCCGGTCTTAGCTCCAGAGACAGTCCATTTGGGAGAAGATTTTAGCCATCTAGTGCGGTTTCAGCTAGCCGTGGCTACACTGGAGTTTCTGGAGCAGTGCTGTCCTATCCAAGTGGGCGGTTGTCTCTGAGTGTCGGGGCGCGATTTGTTGCGGATTGTCTATCTGTGGAGAGGAGGATGTTATTCTACTTATTTGTGTTTTATGTTGTTTTGTTGGTGTTTGCTTTTATGTTGTGGTGTTTTTCTAGTTTTTTATGTTATTCTCCTTGGTAGGAGCTGGATTATCTCTCGTGTGATCTGTTTAGTTTAGTTTGATTAGTTGTATGTCTTATGGGCGAGTTGGAGTAGTCTCTAGGAAGTCTTCCTAGATTCAGCTAGATGACTATTTGACTTATTCTAATTGTTATTTAGTTGTATTTATGTGTTTGTTTTGTCTAAAAAATTTATGGTTTAAAAAAAAAGTAAAATATGAATATTTGTAGAGTAAAAACGTGGGGTTTGGGGATGAATAAAAAGTTAAAACACCAAAACCCTAGACGCCACACTTATAACTCTCCATAAGCTTCTGCTGTCAAACCAAAGCTCAGTGTAGCGGCGACAACAATGGGTAGATCTTCCATTTCACTCTCCTGCTCAACTCGATCCCATTTCAATTAACCGTTTAGGGATTTTTCTATTTACCTTTTGATTTTATCGATTTGCTGGTACTTTTTGAAGGTGCCTACACATATGTGTCGGAGTTATGGAAGAAGAAACAATCCGATGTGATGCGGTTTCTGCAAAGAGTCCGCTGCTGGGAGTACCGTCAGCTTCCAGCTGTTGTACGTGTCACCCGCCCGACCCGGCCCGACAAGGCTCGCCGCCTCGGATACAAGGCCAAGCAGGTATCTTCTCATTTGAGTTGGAACCCATTTCGGATTTTCCTTTCTTTTATTTTTGTTGTGGGTGTTTATGGATCGTGATGCGATTGTTGTTAGTATAATATCAATGTGCATTTACCATTTAACTCTTGAGTTGGTGTCGTGGGAAAGTGGCTTGTTTGGATATTTTGATTGGATGTGTTATTGCGAAGGTGTTTACTATGTGTATAATGCCCGTTGGATCCTATCCTGTTTTTCTCGTAGCGTTTGGTTTCTTTTCTGTGAATTATTATATACGCTGGAGTCTTTATAAAATGTGCAGGAACTATGTGTTTCTTGTTGAGTCTGGCTTTTCCAGTAGCTCCTAATTCTTCTGATTTTTAGAACAAAATAGTTCCTTAGGGGACATTATAATGTCTTTTCTGAATTGTATCAATGTTTTTTATTTTAAAATAATAAAATGGTTAATCAGAGGTCTACTTTGGTTGAGTACTTTGGATGTCTCCGTTCCCCAAACTAAGTATTTATTTGCTGTTCCTGCTACCTATTGATGTCTGTTTGAAATCTGACCCATCTAAAAGATTGAATAAGATTACATCCTGCAAATAATTTTTCCAGCAATGTCCAGCTGTCTGCTAACTGGCCCGTGCAAAAGTTATTCGAAGTCTTATTGATGTAAGAAAGATCAGCAAAGCGGAGTTACCACTAGCTTAGTTGAACTCCTAGTGCAATCCAACAAAAGGACAATTTTGTAGGACTACTTAGCATTTTTGCTGGAAATACCTTGTTGCACATTCATAAGCATATTCAACTATGCCCAAGCCGAGACTGTTGATTTGGATTGGATACTCAAAACATTGGAGAAGCAGTGCAGGGTTCCCACCTTGAATTAGTACTAGATTCTGTTTTGATTGAGTCATTTGAGGTTCAAAGCCTGACTGTAAAGCTTATTTGTAGTAAAAACAAGAAAATAAAAACTAAACCCAGGAAGTAGTTTCCTTCTTAGTTTGCTTCTCATTAGTAATATTCAAAAAGTTACTAAAAAAGTCGTATATATAAAAAAAGAAAGAAAGGAAAAACGAACAATTATTGGAATGAACATTATCTACTGAAGCCTACTTTACCTTAAAACAGCTCCCAAGTTGGCCTTTCTGCACTCTTTATTTCACACTTACAGTTTGCGCATATCAGTGTTTGTAATTGTTCTTCAGAAACTAGCGTCCATGCTTTTTTCCCACCCTCCAATTGAACTTATGTTTGTTTATGCCAAATATAATTGTACTATCATCTCCTGGATAACTTTAAAAGGTTTTTTAATTTATCATGCTCACTTACAGTAATAATCGTGAGTGATTATTGTAATTCCAGGGTTATGTGGTGTACCGTGTGCGTGTTAGACGTGGTGGGAGGAAGAGGCCCGTACCCAAGGGTATTGTGTATGGAAAGCCCACTAACCAGGGTGTTACCCAGCTAAAATTCCAACGCAGTAAGCGTTCGGTTGCTGAGGAACGTGCTGGACGAAAACTTGGTGGGCTGAGGGTTCTCAACTCTTACTGGATTAATGAGGTTTGCATCTATCTCTCTATCTGTCTATTTTACTTGTCACATAATATTCAAGTCTTGTAGAACACATTCTTCATTCTCTTGACAAACTCATTAGAACTAAACTGAGGACATGTACAAACCAATATCTCATTATCGTGCAGATAACTTGAGTTCTATCGATTTCATATGATAAATAACTGAGGGCTGTTTGGATACAGAATTGTTCCGTTTTTACCCAACCCAAGTTAAAACCCCAACCAGTAAAAGTTGTTTTGATATAATTTTGTCCCAACTAACTCAGCTCAACTCTCCTACTTTTTATAAATATAATTAAATAATATAAACCAATCATCCTCACACATCAAATTAACTTTAATTTACTATTCATCCACTCATGTAATTTTAACTACCTATCACTTCCAATAATCTTTCTCCTACTTTTGCATCACATCATATTTAGTCTTTACATTTTAAATATTATTTAATTTCAAACCTAAAATCATCCACTCAATCTACTCTTTTTAAGATAACTCAATTTATCCTACCAAAACGGGTTAAAGCGGAACAAATTTGTATCCAAACTGGTCATTTTTTTTTTTTTGAAAAAGTTCGTTGACTAGTTCATTGAGGAGATATAACTAGTACATAACTGAACTAAATATGTGGGCCTGTGGGCTTATATGGGCTTTGCAGGACTCTACTTACAAGTACTTTGAAGTTATCCTGGTTGACACGGCCCACACTACTATCCGCAATGACCCAAGGATCAATTGGCTCTGCAATCCGGTCCACAAGCACAGGGAGCTTCGTGGGCTGACCTCTGCTGGAAAGAAATACAGAGGCCTCAGGGGAAGAGGCCACCTGCACCACAAAGCCCGTCCTTCAAGGAGGGCCACCTGGAAGAGGAACCAAACCCTTTCCCTGCGTCGTTACCGTTGATCTTTTTAGAGATTCTGGTTTTGTCGAGATACTTGGCTTAATTGCTTGCTATCTGTTGTTTTCTGGTCTTGGATAATATGAAGTCTTGTTCTGTGTGGTTTTCTAATGTTGTTTGCTATTAGATCACCTGGATTTCTTGTGATTTTGGTTATCATGCCATGGGGAGTTTTTAGTACTGTTTTTCCTATATATTATTACCGGATTTAAATGGCTATGAAGTCATGTTGATTGTTTTTTTTGTACTGTTTTCTGGTTTTGTCGAGTACTGTTTTTGTACTGTTGCTTGCTTACCTCAATTGAATGCTGTTAGCTGACTAGCCATAATTTCCCCCAACCCAACCCATTTACTTGCAGTGTAATACTGCTTTTGTTCCTGGCCTTCTGTGTTTAGTTCATATAGGTTATTCCTTAATCAGGGTGTTGTAATGAAAGCCCCATTTGGCAAGCTATTAATAGTTTTAATTTAGTAAATTTATATAAAGAATGTTGATTCTAATGAACAATTTTTGAATAGGAATGACGAATCCAAAAATTCTATACAAGTTTGAAAAACAGAAAGATCCCTCGGATGTAATCATTCCATTATATTGACAATTTCAAAAAACTAAGCACCCAGTCACAACTTGTCACAAGAAAGGATTGAGGATCGAGTCCCCGTGCATGAAATTACTATATAATGAATAATGAGCCGGATATATTCCTAGGGTGAAACTTCTCAATATCCTTTTCAGGTAGTCTCACTTTGATCTCCTTTCAGTCGTCCGTGCATGAAGTCACTATATAATGAATAATGAGCCGGATATATTTCTAGGGTGAAACTTCTCAATATCTTTTACAGGTAGTCTCACTTTGATCTCCTTTCAGTCGTCAATTGCACGTTGGATGAAAGAGAATTCTACTACTCAGTGGGTGGATGATTCAGCATCTTCAGTGCTTATTTGTATGCTTTATAAGTTTAGGGTCTTGCTGTTTCAGTTTAAGGTGCTCTGGCTAAGATGACTATGTTCCCTCCCTTTGTAAAGAACTGGGACCTCTGGAAGGGTAGCAAGGAGACCAGATTTAAAGGCGCAACATAGGTTTTCAATTTCTTCATAAATATTTCGTTTTTTTGTTCTGATTTGAATCTCAATAGCTATCGACTAAAGCTGTAAACTCTCATACACAAGGAAAGAAGGCAACCACTGGCTATGTCATTTTTCTTGGCTCAAATGTCATCTCGACTTTTAATAAAGATGCTCTGCTTATCCTAAGCTTCATAGATATTGTCCTAACACGTTTTAGCATGCAGAATTCCAAGGAGAGCAAAGTGAGACTAACATAACGAAGCGAAGCTGATTTAGAACAATTAAATTACTATACAAAATTCATTTCAATATAGTTACCCCACATTTAATGTCACATTTGTTGACACTTGTTGAACGTAAGATCTCTTTTGCGGAATCTTATTGAACATAACTCAGCACAATTACAATAGAGTCCATATTTTGGATGTGCTCTTAGTCCGTGTTATTGAAAGGACAATCATAACATTGGTCACTCTTGGAAGTGTCTCAAACTCTTGGAACACATTTGTGTTATTGAAAAGACAATCAGGACGAAAAGACAACCATGACATCGTTCACTTCAATATTTCTATGTCAATTTGAATGTCATCTTCAAGCATATAACATATTAAACGAAAGAACAATCATAACATTGTCCACTTGTTATTGAAAAGACATTCATAACATCGTTCACTCTTGTTATTGAAAAGACAATCATAACATTGTTCACTCAAGTAATAACATCGTCCACTTGAGTAATTTAAATATGAAATGTCATCTTTAACCATATAACATATTTGAAAGAAAGGACAATCATAACATCGTTCACTTAAATATTTCTACGTAAATTTGAAACGCCATCTTCAACAGCATAACATATTGAAAGAACAATAATAATGTCGTTCACTAGAATATTTTTCAAAGTAAATTTAACATGTCATCTTCAATAACAAAACACACAAGGTGATATAACATCTAGAATAACTCGGTTAGCTAACCGGAAGGATTAGCTTGATAGTAGACAGTTAGGAGAGCTCCATCCGGTTCAGTACTTACACCTTATGACAAGCCCTGCGTAGCTCGGAAGTCGGCATACCAAGGAAGCTCGGACACCAGAGACATACATGTAGCTTGGAGGTTTGGAGACCAAGGAAGATTGGACATCAGAGGAAGATCTAGGTAGCTCGAAGGTCAGAAGATCTAAAGAGCTCGGCTATAGGTGAGACCTTATGACATGTAGATTGGTTGGGGTTAAGTCATGGTTACTAGTGGCAAATTGGTGCAGAGGTTGGGTTAGTGACCTTGAAACCTAAGAGCCGTGGAACAAGAGGAGAAATAATCCTTTATAGATGAGGAATACATATTGATAAGGATTCTCAGATTCAAGAGATCTTGCTAGTTAGAAGAGTGGATATGAGAGGATCTCTTTCCTAACTAAGAATCTCTTAGCCACCAAGTTACCTTAGGTATATAAAAGTATCTAGATTATTTACTTTACACAACACACATATGCGCACAAGTTGCATACATACATACTCTCAAGTTTATCACGGACAGACACTGACTTGAGGGTCAAAAACTTTTTCGTCGGGTCCCCTCACGACATATTGCAGGTAGTCGGAGCTCCGAGCTGGTGAAGGTTCGTGGTTCAACCGATTCAAGGTAATTTGGGTATCACATTGAACAAACATGTAACATAATATAAATACAAGGATATTGCCACAAATACAGTTGTTGAATTGGTGAACTAAGATCGGCTCGACTCTTCTTGATTCATTAAGGCTCTGGCTCAGCTCGACTCGATAAGATGATTAAGACTCGAAAATATAATTTTTATGTATTTGTCTATAGTAACACTCAATTTTGGCTCGTTACGACTTGAACTCGACTCGTTAATATTTATGAACGAGTCGAGCTCGAACTCGATTATAAGTTTGTTAAGTTAACAAGCAAAACCAATCCAGCTCAGCTCGTTACGAGTTAAAGTTTGAGCAACATGAGTTCAAGCTCGAGGCTCCATCTCATTTACACCCTTAACCACAAAAACATAGATTGTGCCCATTAAGTTAAATGTGTGAAAAAATCAATTTTTTTTTACACACATTTTATTTATATAATTAAACTTTGTATTTTGAATAAAAAAATAGAAAATGGTATTTTTCGATCTTTTTGACAGAAATTGGGAGAAATGGGTGCTGGCCCACTACCATGAAGGACACCATGAAAGAAGGGAAAAGCCCATATGAAGCCCAAATGGGGTTCCATCCCAAAACCAATTGGTGGAAGGAGGAGTAGCCCATTAGTCTTATAAGGTGGGTCTGTTGCCCCAAGCCCTACTACAAATAAGCTCCCATAAATGGGTACGTCATCACACGGTCCAAGATAGAACCGGCTCTGATACCATGACAGAAACTGGGGGAAATGGGGGAAATGGGTGCTGGCCCATTACCATGAAGGACACCATGAAAGAAGGGAAAAGCCTATATGAAGCCCAAATGGGGTTCCATCCCAAAACCAATTGGTGGAAGGAGTTGTAGTCTATTAGTCTTATAAGGTGGGTCTATTTTTCATATATGAACGATGTGGGGCAACTTACAAGTGATATTCTAACACTTTTTATAAAATCCTCAAAAACTTATTTCTTTTTTTATTTATTACAATATATGAACACATTACATGTATTCTCGCCTAAAGAGACAAAGGGGAACTCGCTCCGTCGTGTGGGCAAAATTAAGAAAGAAAAAAAAACCTAACTATTGATTGCCGAGTAGTTCGGAATTCAAATTCTCGAGCCGCAACGAAAGGCGCAAAAACGAGAGAAAAATGAATGAATAGTCAGTTCTCGTGGACCCCACCATAGAAGCCCGTTGGAACAGAGCCCTACTTGAATTCTAGAAACAGGCACACACACACACACACAGAGATGACAAAGGAAAAGAAAATTTTCAGTCTGTTTCCATGGCGGATAATAGGAAACAGATCTGAGAATCTTGGTTCTTGAATAATTTGCCATTTTGATTTAAAAAAACAAACGAGTGACAGGAAATGAAGTGTTCTGTTTTTTCTTCAATTCACACACATTGAAAAAAAGTGTCTTCTAACATCATTTTAGAAGCTGAACAGTAGAGATACAACAAGAAGAAGAAGAACATGGAGTTGAAGCGCAAAAGCAGATCATCTCCATTTTCAGCTGACAAAGAAAATCAAAACTCCAATTGGCTCAAAACCAAGAATTCCTTAAACCATGTTCTCTACACAATGCGCCTAAACTCTCTAACACCCAAACAAACCCAACCCTTAAACCAAATCCAGCCGGCATCTCTATCAGCTGTTCCCCCACAACCCACAAACAACAAAACCCAAGATTTCACTCAAGCAGATCACGTTTCTGATAAAACCTCACTTCTTTCAGATGAAATCTTGCTCAAAATCCTTTCCAAGCTCCCAAGATCTCAAAGGAGTGCCAATTCCCTTGTTTCGAAAAGGTGGCTCCATCTGCAAGGCAGGCTTGTGAGGTCAATTAAGCTTCTTGACTGGGATTTTCTGTTATCAGGTCGGTTGTTTGTGAGACTCCCTAACCTTTCTCATGTTGATTTGGTTAATGGGTGTTTTGTTTCCCCTAGAAATTCTGGTATCTTTTGCACTCGCATGAAAAGCGTGTCTTTCCATGTGGGCTCTGGTGCTGAGGGTAAAGATTGGATTTTTAACGATAATTTCGTGTTGGGTGCCGATGAGGTCGATAGGGGTTTAAGGGTTTTAGCTGATGGGTGTCCAAACTTGAGGAAATTGGTCGTGCTTAACTGCAGTGAAATGGGTCTCTTGAGCTTAGCCGAAAATTGTCCTGCGTTGCAAGAACTCGAGCTGCTCAAGTGCAGTGACCTCGTCCTGCGTGGGATAGCTGCTTGTCAGAATTTACGAATCCTAAGGTTGACCGGGATTGTGGAGGGATTGTACGATTCGTTAGTTTCGGATGTTGGGTTGACTATTTTAGCACAAGGGTGCAAGAGTCTTGTGAAGCTAGAGTTGACCGGGTGTAAAGGGGGCTATGAAGGGATTAAAGCTATCGGGCAGTGTTGTCAAATGCTAGAGGAGCTGACTTTTCGGGACCATAAAATGGAAAACGGGTGGTTGTCGGCACTTTCATACTGTGAGAATTTGAAAAAATTGAGGTTTGTTTTGTGTAAGGTGATTGATGGTGGTGATGAAGTCGATAGGGATTTGGGGTTTTGTTCGGCAGTTGAGAGCCTGCATTTGGAAAAGTGTCAGTTAAGGGATAAGAGGAGTTTGAGGGCTTTGTTTCGAGTGTGCTGTACTGTGGGAATATTAGTTATTAAGAGCTGTTGGGGACTGAATGATGATATGTTCACAGCTTCAAGCGTCTTGAGGTAATTAATTTTAATTTTAATTTTATTTTCTTTCTTCCATGCCTTAGTGTGTGTTCTGGCTTTCGAATTGCTAGGCTTTTAGATGTTCGTTGAATTGTACTAATATGTTCACTTTGCTTGACTGTGTATCCATCTCGTCATCTTGATTATTTTCGTAGAATTTAATATTTGTCTGGAGTTTTGGGTTGATGTTGAAGATTTTGAACTATCCTTTGAGTTACCAGGTTTCAGAATAATGGAAACTCTGACAGTCAAGTACCCAAAAAAAAATATAAAAAAAATCTACTCAACTCATCGACTCCAAGCACGTTACTTTGAATTTCTGTAGTTTATGATTTTCTCATTCGAATTGTTTCCGAACACAAAAATAAATTGTTGCATTCATCCGTAATTTTAACCACGCGAAAATCAACAACCCCACTGAATAAAAAACAAGTAATATTTAGCAATAATGACTGCTAATTTGTTTGCCTTATGTAGTAAAAATTCATACTTCAGCAACAATTTGACATGGATACAAATGGAAAACAGAAAAAGAAATGAAAAGGGCAGAAGTCTGAAGAAATATCTAACAAATTGGGCTGCTTTTGTCTAACTTTTGTGCGTGAAATTTTGAAAAGCAGGAAAGTAAGATTTTTGTCTTTAGAAGGCTGCTCGATGCTGACGACACATGGCCTGGAATCCGTAATAACTAGTTGGGATGAGCTGGAGAGCCTCAAAATATATTCATGCAACAATATAAAAGACAGTGAAGTGAACCCTGCACTCTCTGCTGTGTTTTCTGCTCTCAAAGATTTGAAATGGAAACCCGATACGAAATTTCAGCTTTCAGCCAATCTTGTTGGGAGCAACATGGGAAAGAGGGGTAGTAAGTTTTTCAAGAAGTCTGCTGACTGGAAATCTTTGCCTGGTGCATAGAACTACTACACATTTAGTTACTGAATTTAAAACACAGTAGATGGGCAATTGTTACATTTATTGATTTTTGTATCTGTAATTTGGAAAATTTGTGTCCTCTGTATAAGAAGAGTGTTATAATTTACAGTTTAATCTGGATGATGAAACTTAATGGTGTGATTGTAATAGTTCTAGTTTTGGGTGGCTCTGAACCACCATTTTTCTATTTTTTTTTTCTTTGGTCCTTGTGTTTTAGCTTCATCCATTTCTGGGAAAATCATGGCTATTGATGCTCAGCAGGTGCCATTTGTTAGGGATTACATTGTGCAGACATTCCAGTCTGTGATTGAATAATCATTGAAGTAATTTTCATTTGAGTTTTAATGTTCTGTGAATAGGATTCTAAATTCTAATACAAATGCCTCAAGAAGCCTGTCTCACTGTATTAGGCCTGAAAGTCGATGTTTTTTGGCCCAGGCTAGGAAAACACAGTCTAATTTTGGAAACGTTGTGGTAGAAAATCAATTATTATTTTTAAAACCAATATAACAGTTCTATCTCACGTACACTAATGTGGTCACAAACACGAACAAATTCGTAAATAATAAAATTCTACAGATTACAGGTCAGTTGTCTCCATAGTCTAAGCTAACAAATCAAATCATCACCAAAGACAAAACGGGGAAGATTAGAGTTCAAGCAAGCCTTTTTACAAGCACCTGCTGACAAATAAGCTATTTTTACAACAAAAGGTGTCATTGGCTTGTTGTTATACTTATATACAACGAAATTTGGTAATGGATTTTATAAGAACAAAGGAGCTTAATGTATAACATAACTTGCTGGTAATACATAGCCATCTATTGATCCCTAAAACTCCACAGACTGCAGCTTTCATCATGGGTACCACCAATCTGCGAAAAAAAAAAGAAAAAAGCAAATGCCTAATGTCAACCCACGAAGAAAAGAGTGAGTTTTACAGAATAGGTGCTTTATCACAATTATCACTTTAAGATTAGCTGGTTCTTATGTCATACACATCTACTTAGATTTATTGGATTGCCATTGAATATTTGTGATATATTATGTACTATAAGGAGCTGAGGAACAGAGAACTACATTTCTGATTACTTATGACTTATGAGCCACTCCACGAATATCCAGCTAAAACTCAAGAGCAGTTCCATTGTACAGTAAGTTCTATAACTATGGCATTCTGGGTAATGCTTACCAGGTAATAAATAATGTAATCACTTGCTTTGTTTATTTGTCACAGTTCTTTGAACAGTGGAGACACCATCCACAAATTTCGTTCTGAAAAGAACATTGGCATTGTTAAACATGCCTTCCTTCAACGAAACGACAATAAACTGCAAAAGAAAAAAGGACAAAATGTGCAGTAGGTAAATAATAAAGAAAAAAGTAGATGGAATGAGATTAGTGTTATTAAATTGATAAAAGGAAGTACAAACAGACTAATATAATCATATTTGAATTGATATTTTTTTATATATTTGAACTGATATTCAATGCTCCCAAGTGATGCAAGAAACTAACTTGGGATTGTGGAAAGTGAGTCTTGATCATCCTTCCAATGTTCTGAGTGTGACTCAGATCGAGAGCCGCATCAACCTGATTCAGAATAAAATAGTTCAGAATAAAATATTGTCTGGGTTGTATCGAATTAAAATTTAAAGAACTAATCACAAGAGCATAGGTCAACATATTCCAACCAATGCATTGGCGAGGCAGGGAAAATGACCAATATTTTCACAGAATTTGACTCATTTAACCATGTATAACAAAAAACAACAAAAGATACAAACATTACGCACCTCATCCAGTATATACAGTGGAGCTGGTTTGAAAAGAAGCAAAGCCAAAATCAAAGAAAGTGCAAGTAGAGATCTTTGTCCTCCACTAAGTTCAGACAAGGATTGTTTCCACACACTCCCAAAAGCAACACGAACCTCCAAACCATCAAGAAAGCTGCCTCCTTCAGGAGGTTCCAATTTGGCCATTGTGCCGGGCAAAAGAGTAGAAAATATAGATCCAAAATCTCTGGAAAGGAAGCAATTTGTAAGTACCAGGCTAGAAAGTATGATCATAATAAAAGTTGCGTGAAAGACAGATAAATATTACAGTCAGCAATTTAGAAGGGAAATGGATATTATTATACTAACTTGTTAACTTTGGCCCACGTGACTTTCAGTGTCTCCTTCTTCTTCTCATCAAGTTCTTCGATTACCATTTTGATTTTGGACTTGTCATTCTACATGGAAATATCTACATAAGCAACAGTAAAAGGGAAGCAAACAACATTTATTTTTATTATAGCTAACCTCGATAATGTTCTTCTTAGATATCAAGTCATTGTACTCTTCCTCGGCTTTCTCAAACATGGCCATTACCTTCTTATTCACCCTTTTCTCTAGGCTAGATTAGAAAATATGGAGAAAAATATCAGAGCATGTTACTTCTTTTTTCATTTGTGAATAGCAGAGCATGTTCTCTCTTCTTTTTTTTTTCTCATTTGATTTGCATAAATTGCAGCTTAAAAATAATATATAGCACAGTTCACAATTATCTCACCCAGATTGAGCAGCTTGGAGTTTCTCAAAGTCTTCTCTGGACTTGTGAGGATCATTAGAATTAAAATCATAATCAGACCCAGGTCGTCCAAAAAGTTGCTTTTCTGATGCAATCCAAGCATGCTTCTCTATCAATTTCTCTACCTTTGATGAGCAATCTTTCTGATCCATCTCCATCCGTTTGACCTACAGCCAAGAAGAATGAGATAAGTATACTAACTAACTAGGAGCTGATTCAAAAAAACTAAACAAAACAAATTACTTCATTCTCCATTCTTTTTCTCTCTAGGCTGGCCTCAGTAATCATGTGTTGAATCCCCTGCTGCTTCTTGGCAATACCAGAAATCTGTGTATCGCATTCCTGTATCTTCCTTCGGGCAATATTGAGCTCGGATTGGAACTTATCATGATCCTGTTTTGTAGAAGACACCTATAATAAAAACATTTGATCAATCAGAATTTTCCAAAAAAGGGCTCATTTAGAGACTCATATGGTAGTATACTGAATTTGAATGTACCTTGGCTTTCTGAGAATCCACTTCTGCATCGAGATCATGAATTTGCTTCTTCAAAGCAGCTAATTGGCTCTCCAGCGTAGCCTGTTCCTTCTGAGCCTCTTCCATCTCCATTATAAGCCTCTCCCGTTCACTCTCATGGCCCTAAGTGCACAAGTAACATGAATAATGGGTTTAGTAGTTTAATACTAAACAAACTCAATATTAGATCAAATGAACATTAATTAATTTTGATGGTTTTGCTCAGTCTCTAGCATTTTGACCAATCATGCTAGGAAAATTCTGATAATCATTACAAATATATTTGGATAACTAGAAAATTGGGAGCTGGTGTTATGGTACGTGCTAAAATAAACAGATGGCTTCCCCCAGTCATTCAGTTATACATTTCAACAAAACATACCTTGAGACTCTTAGAAGCAGCCTGCATTTGATTTTTAATCGCCTTTATCTTTTTCTCTAAATCCTTAAGTCTACTTTCTCTATTTCCAGCATGGTCATGGATTGACTTTTCAAGATCTGATACTTTAGCTACACATTCTTCATACAGAAGTTGCTTCTCTTTTATGGCTGATTTTGCTTCTCCAAGCTCCTCCTCGATCTTCTTAACCAACTCGCTTAGCTACATCACGTACGAAATGTTGATGTGATAGGAGTTAATATCATGTATCAGAAAATCTGGAGTTCTGAATAAAGGATGTGTGGCTTGACAATGGAAACTACTACAACAAAATGTTTCAAATTTTGCATGGTAAAGAAATAAGCCTCAACCTTATGATGCTCATTTTGCTTAGCTCTGCTTTCTGTAAGTGAGAGATCATGTGATTTGAGCTCCAGCTGCGTTTTAAGGTCAGTGAACTTTCTTTGATGAGGCAGGAGCTCGTTAATCTGATGCATCAGGTAAAAGTTTAAGAATCTTATGAAATAGCAACAACATAAATATTAAGACTAATCAAATAGCCTCCCTGGGTAATGACACCAACTTGAACGATATATTTAGCCTGAGTTCTAATAAATCTAACTTTTCCTTCTATGGGCATATCAAGTTTAATTAGTCCTTACATTTGAAACGGAATCAAATTAGAGATAGAGGATCAAGATAACCTTGGCATCAATTTCTGACAAACGCTTCTGATGAAAAGAAACTTTTGATTCAGCTTCTGCCAAAGCATGTAGCTGTCTCAACAGGTCACCTCCACCTCTAAAATTATTAGTAGAGTTTTAAAATGTGCATATATTGTTAATACACCAGTGGAAAAAAAATGTATATAAGAGAATGTCTGCCAACAATGTATATAAGAGAATGCATGCCAGTAATGTATTTAAAATATTGATGAATCCCTTCAAACTTCAACTCTAGGAAGGAGCCATTATCACTTACTTACGACTACCACCAGTCAGAAGTCCACTGGGTTGGAAAATATCACCTTCCAAGCTAACGCTTGGTGTTCCTGTTTCTCTATTAAAAGTGACCTGAGTGAGAAAAGTGAATCAAAGGAAGAAAACAGCAATTAAAATTTAAAAGTTTTAGTTCCACAAATACCTGCCCATGTCAGAATTCAAACATGTAGAAAACACAGAAAGCAACTTACAAATCCTTAAACTATATTCGTCTGGTTTAGGCGTTTAGCTACAAAATCCTCTTCCTCCACTTGACTTGGTTGAAGACCAATTTGTAAGTTGAAGAACAAAGACTCAAGGCTGAGAGTAATGACATTTTGTGCTTTTATCATATATTTTCCTTAACTGATGGCTTTGATGATTAGTTTCCTTATTTTCACAACTTTTTCTTAAAGCGACTCTTACTCTATAAAATGCCACTACCCAAATATCCACCTTAACAGTCTCATTTCAGCTCATATAAATATCTTGGCATATAAACATACCTCTCTAGCAGCATCTCTTGTTCTGCAGACAAATGTCGATCCAAACACATACTCCATAGCACTCTGCATAGCACTTATAAATTAAGTCTCAAAAGGTTATAGCTTACAACAGTTTGTACTTTAAATATAAAGAAAAAGAAGCAGAATCAAGATTTAACCTAGAATTTGGAAGTGTATAATCGAATTTATGTGTATATCTTCTTTAGGAACACAATACAGTGACAGAATTTTGAGAATATCAACTGAAAAGATGCTAATGTTTTATGGTCTATGTGAGGAAAAAAAAAATAACTGGAGCAACACCAAAATAGCAAATAAAGAAGTGAATGAACAAGAATTGATCGAATATCAGATTGTTTGGG